GAATGTTTCATAAGATGATAGGGGCATCATAGACCGATGTGGGAGGGGCCTATCCTAAAATGGAAGACTCTCTCATGGTACCTTGGCGTTCACGAATATGATGGGTGAACACTCACTGGACAAAAAAGTTTAACCTAAAATGGCAATGAACCTTGTTTGACAGAGGCCAAAGGGAAAGCTCATAAGATGAGTAGATGTGATCTTTCACAAAAGGTGGTGGGGTTATGCAGCTGAAACAGTTGGATCCATGCACCCTATGTGATTTCCCACATTTTCAGAGACATAATTCGTAGACTTCGTCACTGAGATAGGAGGCAAATCTCAGAGATGAATAAATGGAAATGGAACATAGATTAAAAGTCATACCTATGCAAATAACATGAATCAAATAAGGTTGTGGACTAATACTTGTTTTGCCCTTTATCAGAAATGGCAAATGGGCAATTCGCTAAACTGTTGGATGACAACAAGTTTAAGGGCCCAAACTACGTTGACTGATATCATAACCTTATGATGGTCCTGACGTCCGAGAAATTGGACAAGGTAGTTAAAAACCCTGCTCCGGATCGTCTTGGTGATAGGGCTTCTGAGGCCCACAGGAGGGAGTATCAAGAATGGGAAGAGAAAAATTCTCTTGCCCGGTGCTATATCATAGCCTCCTTAGATAATCAGATACAGCGACAATTCGATCATCGAATTGTCCAAGGATATCTTGGATAGTCTAAGGACAATGTATGAGGAGCAGAATCATTATACTCGTCAGAAGGTACTGAAACAGTTCATGACCGCACAAATATCTAAGAACCAGCTAGTTCATGACCATTGTCTTAAGATGATGGGGTACATCAATGAACTGGATGCTCTTGGATCTGGGCTAGAGCAGAGGTGGACTCAATGGAGACCAATGGAATCTAGACTCTAGTAGATCCGCCCCTGGGGTAAAAGCAATTGATTGCAAATGGATCTATAAGTGGAAGAAGGGCCCCGATGGTAAGGTTGTGACCTACAAGGCTCGTCTTGTGGTGAAATGGTACATTTAGAAAGAAGGAATCGATTATGAGGAAACCTTTTCGCCCGTGGCCATGCTTAAATCCACTATGATCCTGCTAGCTGTAGCAGCATACCATGACTACGAGATTTGGCAAATGGATGTCAAAACTACGTTCTTGAATGGAGATCTTACTGAAGATATCTATATACAGCAACCGCAAGGTTTCATAGCTGCAGGTCAGGAACACATGGTATGTAAACTCCAAGAAAGGAAACGTTCCTTTCAGGCATGGAGTCACTCTCTCCAAGGGTATGTCTCCCAAGACTCCCGAAGAGATTGAGGGCATGAAAGAGGTTCCCTATGCCTCAGCCGTAGGGAGCATCATGTATGCCATGCTATGCACTCATCCTGACATTTCTTAGGCAGTTAGTGTGGTAAGCAGATACCAATCTAACCCAGGGCAGGAGTGTTGGACTGCTGTGAAAAACATACTAAAATACCTTCGAAGGACAAAAGAGTTTTGTCTAGTATTCGATGGTAGTTTACTACAGATCCAAGGGTATACTGATGTCGATTTACAGTCAAATCCAGATGATAAAAAGTTTACATCTGGATAGATTTTCACGATAGGATCGTGTGTTGTTTGTTAGAAAAGCAGCAAACAGGGGTCCACAGCGGATTCCACAACCGAAGCCGAATACATTGTTGCAAGTGAAGCTGCCAAAGAAGCCATTTGGATGAAGAAGTTCATCCAGGAATTAGGAGTAGTTCCATCCAGCACATCACCCATTCCATTGTTGTGTGACAACACTGGAGCAATTGCTTAGGCTAAGGAGCCATGAGCCCACTCGAAGTCGAAGCACATCGAGAGGAAGTACCATGTACTACGGGAGATAGTTGGAAGAGGGGACGTCCTGATTCAGAAGGTAGCATCAGCAGAAAATGTAGCAGACCCATTGACTAAGCCACTGACACAGAAAGTGCTTGAGAAACATTTGGAAAGTATGGGACTCCGACTTATACCCGATTGAACCTAAGTGCAAGTGGGAGCTGTTAAACAATGTATGCCCTTAGCTCCAATCAGAATGATGTACATTATGACATTTACTGTAAATGAATAAAGTACATATTTGTTTCTGTGTAATACCCTTAAACTGGACACATATGAGACTCGTGTTAGTTTAGAATCTTCATAACCGTTGGATAGATCTAGGGAGATT